ACATCCCTTCCTTCCCACCACTCCTTCCGGCCGCTCATCTACTTTCCGTCCCTGTGGATTTACTTTCTCGGGACATTTCCTATAAATGGAATCACACAACACGCGACCTCTGTGTCTGGCTCCTTTGACTCGCACACGCTGTCAAGGTCCACGCGTGTCGCGACGCGTGTCGGCGCCTCCTTCCTTCTCACGGCCGGATCGTGTCCACCGTGCGGGGATGCCACATTTGGTTCTTCCATCCACCCATCGGTGAACGTTTGGGTCTCCCATGTTCTCGCTGTCGCGAACGGTGCTGCCGAGAACACCCAGGTGCGAGTCCTCGCATGAACAGGTCTGCGGTCTCCCGGCCCGCCTGGCCCTGGAGACGTGTCCCAGCAATCTCCCTGCCTGCCTCTCTGGCTGCTGCCACCCCGGGGCTGTCGGGCTTCCCACCTGAGAACCCATGGCTTCCCACCCATGGGCCCGTCCCGCGCCGACACGCCGACCCCACGGTGAATCGGAGGCCGGCCCACACCTGACCAACGACACGGAGCCCCCGATCTTCCCGCGCTAGCGACACTAACAAAGCCATCGAATGGTCCCAGCGACCGCGCAGAAATGGCAGTCCACGGCCGTCTCAGACAGGGCGAAAGGGCGCCAGTCCAGAATAGACTCGCCGCTCTCTGAAACAGCTGCCGCCCGCAAGGCCGGCCACGCGGCGCCTTTCTGCCAGCTCTATTCTGTTTCCCCACTAGCTCAAACATGTTAAGTCTGACACGCAATGCCACAAAGCACAGAAGCGAAAACAAATAAGGGGGAGGTGTGGGGAGGACGGAGGTCACAACCTGTGGTGTCGTGGGTCTGCCCACGCCATCTACGAAGGGGCGGGAGGGCAGCGGGGCCACCGTGCCCCGGCTCTGGCTCTCTGGGGACAGAGCTGCCCTGGAGTCCAGCCGCACCTGACTCCCCCTCAGCGCCCAGCGTGCGGCTCCCTCCCCCAGGCCCTCTCCCCCCAGGCCCTCTCCCCCCAGGCCCTCTCCCCCCAGGCCCTCTCCCCCCAGGTCCCCTTCCTCCCAGTCCCTCTTCCCACATGGCCCACAGGCCACCACGATGCGGCTTCCCGCCCTCCCCTCTAACCCCCCCCGCCGTCTCCTCTGGGGGGTGCTCCCGACCTCCCCCGACCTTCGCACGGCACGCCTCAGCCTGAGCCCTGGACGCCGCCGCCCCCAGCTCCGCTCTCCTCTGAGGCCGGCTCACACCCTCCCACGGCTTCCAGTGCCATCCCTAACCCAGAAACTTCCGGACGAGCCTCTGCTCCGGTGTTCCGTGGAGGTCTCTAACTGCCCGTTTTCTGGAAAGGAAGCGGAAGCATGTTCCTGGGCACGCGCAGAGCGGGAGGCTGGACCCTGAGCTGGTGGAGGGTGCAGGAGGCACAGAAACAGGGAGCAGTGGCAACCCGGGACCCAGTGGCACAGCGAGGTGGAAGACGGGAATTGACTTGCAGAGGTTTTCTCTTCCATTCTGTGCACGGTCTTTTCACTGCCTTGATGGTATCTTCTGAGGCACAGTTGTCTTTAATTTTGATTAAGTGCAATTTATGTGTTTTTCCTTTTGTTGTTTGCACTTTGGGTGTCATAGCTAAGAAACCATTACCTAATCCAAGGTCACAAAGACCTACCTCCGTGTTTGCAGAGAGTTTTAAAGTTTAGTTCTTACATTTAGGCCTGCAAATTATACACCTGTTAAGGAACTTGTTTCTAGAATATACAAAGTATCTTACAACTCGATAATAAAAAACACAAAAACAGCCCAACTAAAAATGCCAAATGATCTGAATAGACATTTCTCCAAAGAAGACACACAAATCTTTCAGATATACTTGAAAGATGTTCCACCTCTCTAATCATTAGGAAAATGCAGCTCAAAGCCACAAAGAGAGACCACTTCACACCCACTAGGGTAACTAGAATCAAAAGTATGTACAACACCAAGGACTGCCAAGCATGTGAAGAAACTGGGATCCCCTACATTGCTGGTGGGAACAAAAAACGGTGCAGCCACTGAGGAAGACAGCCTGGCAGTCCCTCGAAGCTCAAACATAGGGTAACCACGTGACCCAGCAGTTCCACTCCCAGCTATATACCAAAGAGAATCAGACAAACATGTCCACACAGAAACATTGCACACAAATGTTCACAACAGCAGTGCTCATCATAATGGCCAAAAAAGTAGAAACAGCACAAATATCCATCCATGGCCAAGTGCATAAACAAGATGTGGTCTGTCTGTATAAGGGAACATTATCCGGCCATAAAAAAGGATGCTATTATTAAAAGGATGTTTCGCATGATAAGCACTAAAACACCGGGTGACCCTTGAAGACATATGCTAAGCGAAAGATGCCGGTCACAAAGGCCACAGAGTGTGTGGTTCCACTTGTGTGGCACACCTCAAACGGGCGCATCCATGGAGACAGAAGGCAGACCAGTGGCGGCCGGGGCTGGGGAGAGGGAAGAACAGGGACCGACTTCCACCAGGCACAGGACTTCCTGTGGGGTGAGGAGAACGTTCTTCAATGGATCGTGGTGATGGCTGCACGCCACTGTGCACGCACTAACAGCCGTTCAGCTGTGCACTGAATCGTGTGCTGTGTGAATCACATCTCAACACACCTGGTATCAAAAGAATTAATCTCTGGGGTGCAGGTGCTGGTCGGGGCCCCGCAGGGCAGAGGGCGGATTCGGTGAGGCAAGCCGGCTGCCGTCCTCATCCACGACCGAGCCCCACACAGACGCCGGCGTGAGGGTCCCTGGGGTTCTCTGCGCGTCAAAAGCCCCTCTCTCACTGGGTCCACTCAGCAGCACCCACCGTGTGCCGGGTGCCAGCCTAAAGAACTCGGACCCAGCGTCTGCCCCAGGCGGGACGCTGGCGTTGTCACGGTGCGGTGCTGGGGAGGGCACACACGTGAAGGGTGCCCACGGGAGGACGCAGGAGCAGAGCCACCTCCTCGTGCTGTGGCCACCAGAGAGCTGGTCCCCAGAGCACTGGGTGTCAAATGGGGAGCCTTGGAGGGCACCATCGCACACGCCTGCCACCTCTCCAGTTGCGTCTCTGACCGCCCTGCCGTCTGCCCACGAGGCTGCAGCCACGCCACCCTCCTCGCTGGTCCTGGACACGCCAGGCAGGTGCACACCCCGGGTGCTCTCCCAGGTCTCTGCTCAAATGCCAGCTCCCTGGCCATGCCACCCTGACCACAGGGGTGGAGGGATGGGGCTGAGGTCTCTGCTTCCTGCATTCGTCGCCTTCGAGGCACTCATACCACCTGACCACA